TGCATTGGCTTACCGAAGCTCCAACACAATGTTATCATGAACCGGAAACGGTGCGCAATCCATTTTGCTATGATGTTATCCCTTTTTTTAAATGAGAAGTTCATTCGATGGAAAAAAACTCTTGTCAATGGAACCATGCTGTTAGGATCGGAATGAGACATTACAAGAAAACCACAACACAGTTTGCAAAATTACACAGTAATCATTCCTTCAATCACGAAGACAATGGCTTTAATTTCTTTAGAGTTTCTAAAACATCAAACTTCTAAATAACCAAATGACTCCATACCGAACTAGATCCCGAAATTATTACTCTTTCTGAGAAACTATGTTATTGATGCATAAATTTAAATCGAGGATCTTAAAACCTCAATAGTTCAATGGTACCTGGTTGATGCTCAAAAATCATGTGACAGAAATTCCTCATACTTTTAATTCATTCCTTCACATTTCCCTTCAATCAATAGAGCCTACATTCTCACCATCCCCAGTGTGAATGTCCTACTAAATTAACTTTTCCCATGAAAAAATGAAATTTCTTGTATATGAACACATAAGAAGATTATTTTTTTCACTATGATATGAATTGATATTGTATGCATGCGGTTGCATTTTTAAGCTAGAATGGTTCCTTAGGAGACTTTATCTAGTTTGTTGTTATTTCCTTCTAGAATGCTCTTTTGGTCTTATAAGTAGGAGGTCTTGTAGAAGTAAAAGGCATTGAATGAATTATCCCTTTTACAAGCTTTGGAACAGCTTCTTTCTTCTTCTTCCTGGATTGGGAAAAACCCAAATCCTTCTGCAGGTCGCATCTTCTCGACGATCCACTACATCAGTTGGTATCAGAGCCTGGAGCTTGTGAAGATCGATGGACTGCGAAGAAGGTCGCTGCGAGACGATCGAAGCCGCAAAACAAGAGATTGGGGTCGACGAGATCGCGCCAAGGAAGGTGGGTCTGCCGACGATGCTCGGAGCCGGATGCCTTCTATCAAGCTCAATCGAAGAAATCGCTCGATCAGGTAGACGAAATCTTGATCGGATTCGCGAAAAACTTCGGGCCAATAAGGAAGATGAGAATGTCGTCGGCAAACAATACCGAGGTATTTTCTTTCTCCATCTCCGCTTGCGTTTCCAACGCAGACGCCATCCGTCCCGCCATACTCCCCCGATCGTTGATGATTAGTTCCGCTCGAACTCCGCTAAATGCGTGATCCACCGCCTGGAATGCACCGCTCGAGCTTCCATTGCATGGGAATTCCTCCGCCTCCACAGATTACGTCGCCTCGCAACAGGAACTCCGATCTTTGATCCGATCCAGATCGATTCGATCAAATAGAAACATCTCTGGAAGTGGATACGCCCCAAACCAGCAGATGACAATCCCAGTCTCCGACCTCATACCGCTGCCGCCGCGGGCACCGCTGACCAGACCTCCGCAGACCCCCAGCGCGATTCGCCACGATCCAACGCGTGCGTGGCTTCGTCCGTCTCTGCCGATCGGATCTCGTAGCCGAAGAAGCAACTGCAGTGTTGTTTTCGACTCTGCTCTGCTCAGCTCACTGGACTTTCTCGCTTCATCCAATTTCCTACATGTCCTCCACCCAGTTCGGTTGCTACTACTTCTAACGCTCCTAGATCTCTGTCGTTGCGCCGCTCAGTATGATACTGGAATTGGACTGTTGTTCTGAAGTTTTCAGATGGAAAGGATGAATTAGCACCACATCAGAAACCAAGGATGCCGCTAACCAGGTATCTCAGGAAATAATGAAGTAGTAGGGAGCTGGAATCGCCCGTTGAAGCACATCTTCTCTCTCTTGAGGGGAGAGGCACTAAGCTGCAAATGGAATCCTTCTGAATCAAACAAGGTTGACCATGCCTATTTTTGAACAGCCTAGCTCAGGTGAAGCTGTTCCGTTTCAACCTTCTCAGTCTCACCACTCAAGTCAATATTCTCAGAAGCTGAAAAATCTAGTGAGCATGCTCATGCATTGGCATCTTCGCTCCGCATTCCTTACCTGTTAACAAGTATCTCTGCAAATGATTCTATCCAGGCCTTTAATTGTCAGATAATGCGGGTGAAATATTGCAACGGAGGCAACCAGCAGGCAAAATATACCACTACTACTCCTCCGTTGCCCGTTCAAGACAGAGCACCACTCTGCTCTTGCGATTTTGCTTCAAGTGTTGAGCTCGATCT